AATACACATATTTAAGAATTCTAAATTCTTGACTCGTTTTCTTGGACTGATCCTTTGGAGGCCTGAAGATCTAATAGAAGATTTTCTTTTTCCTGTAGAAATTGCGACTTACACAGCCAATCCCAATCATCTCCCTTTACATTGGACATGAATAAACCTTTTACGTTCTTTGTGTTTGAAGTTTCACTAGAATTTGGCAAATCTCCTCACAAATACCATTTATCTTAATTGATATGAACTTCCTTAATATTTATTGCAGAGAAACTTGGTACTGCTGCACACAGTAAGGAACTGTTATCTTGTCCTTCTTCTATACTTGCATCATTGCTTGTGGTGAATATATTAGCATGTATTACAAAATTACATTATCAAAAGAAGGAGAACAAAGTTCACACTCTTTGCAGTACCTTGTAGAAGAGCAGAATGAAATTGATAGCAAATGCCACAAACAGAGCCAACAATCTCAGGTTGTAGAAATTCCTGGCTAAATAATTCTGAAACAAGAATGATAAATTTGTGATATACCAATATTCACTCAGAGTCTCAGGCCAATTTAACTTGATGTTTTAACACGACTTCTATTTTATCGTATTTCAATAACTATGTTGAAGAACTTCTTTCAATACTGTAAAAACATTTATATTGAAGATTAACTTCTCTACCAGCTATATCCATTTCAAATCATGGGAGTATCTCCAGATTCTTACTGACGGACAGGAGGGGTGGTGGATAGTGGATGGATCCATATTCTACAGTTAACAGGTGTTTGAAGATGACACAGCAGTTTATTTGGTTTGTCTTCAATCAGTGAAATTAAGTCTTCAATCACCATGACATTCAGCTGGCAACCTGTCACTGTCTGCAAATAAAAGGCACGTGCACATAGGAGCAGGAGTTGGCCATTCAGTCCCTCGAGCCTGTTCCATCATTTAATGAGATGATGGCCTAACTCCATATACCTGCCTTTGGCCACCACCTTTAATACCTTCGTGTTTAAACAAAACAATAAGATTTTTAAATTGAAGGCAGTAGGGAATGGAGAGCCAATGTATTACAGCAAGCACAATGTGATAGATCAATGATATTTGGTTCAAGTTAGGATGCAGAAAGTAAGTTTTTTTTGTTTGAGGTCAAGTCTAAGGTGAGTGGAAGCTGGGCAGTATTGAAATAGTACAATCTCGGGTTAACAGAAACTTATCACGTTCTTGCAAAAGAAGAGAATTCCTTCTACTTTAAGAATAAATGCAACTCAATTCAGTAGTTGTAATCAAAATCATTCTCTGGATACATCAGCAGATTTTTACCACTATTATCTGAACAGGAGGAATGTGTAACATTGCAGAGAGGAGGAGGGGGAATGGCAGTAACTCTCATTGTTCATTTGGGGAGCTGCCCAGACACAATTAGCTGAATGGCTGTCAGGACAGATTACCTAAAGATGCTGGGAGCATGGTTCCGAGGTGGCTGAGCAAAATCTTGACAGGAGCATATTAACAAGGTGAGGCAGAAACTGGGCTTATGGCAGCATCGTTCCTCCTCCATTCCGGGTAAAAACCTAGTCATCAGGTACAAGATCTTCTTGGTGTTGTTGTATCTGACACAGGTCTGGACCGGCTCCCGAACCAGTACTTGCAGTCACCCAAACCACTTTATCTGGAGGTAAAAGATGGACCGTGTATGCAGGAACACCATGTACAAAGCTCAGGATAAGTGGGGAAAAGACATACCTAATGCTGCCATCATCCTGATGGCCCCCTTTTTGTGTGGCTGCACCAAGCTGTGCACAGCTCCTCGGTACACAAACGCTAAGTGTCAATACATACTGAGGTTTTATCTGTGCCCAGTGTTATGAAGGATGGTCTGACCTCAGCGCTGTGGAACGCTCCAAGTAGTTGGACCATTCCATATCACCTGTTCTGTGTGGAAAAATTTGCAAAGAAAAACACCTTTGACCACAAGTCCATCAGGAAGTGGACAGCACATAGTGTTCTTAAGACCTGTGGAAAATGGAACCTATCAGGTGGTTCCCTGAGCAGACTGTCAATATCATTTGGTAGACTGCCTCATCACCATAACTTTACAGAAGCAACAAGACATAGCTTAGCTGGTGGTAAGCAGGGCACTATCCATCAGATCCTATATGCATGTCTGGTCTCTGTTTATCACCACACTTTGCCCTCGAAGAGGTTGCAGGGGATATACAGACTGTCACATATCTCCTTCTGGAATGTGCCCTTGCATAGAAGGTCTGGAGAGAGATACAGTGGTTTATAAAGATTTGAATCAAGCAGCTCTGTGATGCAGGGCTCTGTGCTTTATGGCCTATTCCCTGGGACACACACCAAGACAAACATTGACTGCGTCTGGAGGACAATCAACTCAGAGAAAGACATTCCTTGGTCTGTCCAAAACTTGTTGGTCTTCCAGGGCAAGGAGTTGACCTCAACTGACTGATGCAGACTGGCACATTCTAAGGACAAGAATTCTGAGCTGAGGGATGCACTAAGGCTTGGGGCAGCTGTCCCCAATGTGCACTTGGCAAAGAATACCTTCTAGGGCCTTTCTGATGAAGTATAATGAGAGTCTTTGCAGTCATCTGACCCTCTTGTTGCCTCAATGTGTGTAATTACTTTGCAACTGCAATGTATGCAACTGCAGGGAAGTCAAATTCCAATTTTGATTTTCTTTATCTGCAAAGACTATGTGGAACTGCTGTGAATATAGATAAAGTTTTTTTTGTGAATAAAGTATATATTTGCAATTAAAAAATTAACTGAATGGTCACCTCCTGTGCAGTATCAATCTGGTGAATCTGAGGTCATTGGGCAGCACAGTGGCTCAGTGGTTCGCATTGCTGCCTCACAGTGCTAGGGATGTGGGTTCAATTCCAGCATCGGGCGACTGTCTGTGTGAGCTTTGGACATTCTCCCTGTGTCTATGTGGGTTTCCTCCCACATCACAAAGATGTGCAAGTTAGGTAGATTTGGCCATGCTAAATTAACCATAGGATGCAGGCTAGATGGGTTATGCAGGGTTATAGGGGGTGGTCTGGGTGGGATGCTCTTTGGACATGATGGGCTGAATGGTCTACTCCTACACTGTAGGGATTCTATAATTTACACAACTCCAGTATTAGTACCTGGTTTCTTAATATTGCTGCATTTAATAAAGAGAAATTGACCAAAATTTAAGCTGGAAGTAATTTTCTTTATTGTATATTAGAGTACTGAATGCACAATATAAAAGCACAGGCTAGTTACATACCAGAATCTTGGTTTGATAAATTTCCAGTCCCTCCCAGAAATTTGCCAAGAATGCCTCAGGCTGCTTCTTTTTCTGTCCACGGCGTTGCTTCCTTTCCTTTTGTTCTTTTCCCTCACTTTCAACTGGCTGCTCCTCTTTAGCTTTGTCCTTCTTCTCACCATCCTCTGTGCTATCAAGGTAAGAGCATACCAGGAATCACTTACCTGGCAATAACTCAAATTTGAACTGAAATTCTTTGCATCGATATTTTGCAAGCGAAACTTACTCAGCCTTCTCAGCCTCTGCTTTATTCTCAGCTTTACTCTTTTGTTCAATCTTGAAATTCAACGTAAAGTACAACAAAAACACTTAGGCTGTAAGTTTTCGGAAAGTTAGAATATTCAGAAGTCGAAAGTTTTGCAGTATGGGAAATACTTTTACAACTTACCTGTGCTTTCTTCTGTTGCCGCAATGCTTTCTCAATACTAGGAGAGCTGTCTGCTCCCATAATTTCTGAGACATCACCAAGACCTCCGTACATATCGCTTGCTGTTTTGCCTCCTTTTTTTGTACCTGTACCAAATATATCTGGCATCATGTCTGCTTCATTTTTCTCACCTTGTACTACAGTCTCAAGCTCTGTGATAACACTTGCCTCAGGAATTTCAGCTCTTTCTGACTCTGCCACATCTCCATGAATTCCAAGTTGTGTTGGATCAGGCATACTTGCTAAAAGATCTGTGACAGTGATGTTTTTGGCACCTTCAACTAAGCCACCACCAAACATAGCACTCCATACAATCTGGAAAAGTCCTTGGACCACATTGAAAACAAAGAACACAAGGCTAGTCAACAACATCCAGAAAAAGGAGAAAAATGCCATTAGTAACTCCATGGTTGTCATCCTCTTAATTTTTTTGTACTGCCTTCTGATATTTTTAAATGTAAAAATGCTGAAAAACTTAAACAATCTGGTTTTGAAATCATGATACGCTGCTGCAAAAGCACTCGAGGATTCAAGAACCTCTTCATCGCTCTCCTCTTCAGTCGGCTTAGGTTCATCTTCTTCATCGTCGGCTCGCTCGGCTGAATCAGGCTCAGAGATTTCAGATGCTAGTTGCATTTCAAATATGGTGTCCTCACAAAAATTCACAAAGAGTTCCATTTTTTCTGATTCCCCTCCTTCATTCACAACATCGAAGATAAACTGCCTTTTGGATTCTTTGACTTGAGGTTTCTCCCATTGCGTTCTACTCGATTCACTGATTTCAAAGTAGATCCTTTCTATGCGCTTTGCAGCACCCATAATCTCAATGCGCCCTAAATAGGGTTCAAAGTATGTGAGCACACTTTGTGCTGGTTGTAATAGGGTCGCCAGGCGGCTGTCATTAGGCATATGTTCAGATAAGTTGGTCAGTAACACAGCTACGTTAAAACCAATGTCCTTGGCTGGTTCATGGAATCGATCAATAAAATCTATGTAGTTAAACATATCATTTTCATCAGCTTCAACACAAGACAGTAGAAATTCTATTTCAGGTTGTGTGTATTTCTTCTGACTCTCTAAAGCTTTCTGAAATTCCTTTTTGGACATTATTCCTTTACTATCTAGGTCATAGACTTTGAAAGTATCAGAATTGGTTATCTCTTTTAATTTCAGAAACATATCAAAGAATTTCAGAATCATTTCCACATTGCTGGAAGACTCAACCAGCGTATCCACCATTTGTTTGCCTATTGTTCCATTTACGACATTACCTACGATTGGAGAGAACAGCACAATAAATTTAAATAGACACAAACACAAAGTTTGAATGAACTAATTCCTGAAACAAAGTGTTTAAAATTTGAAATCAATAAGTCAATTTATGAGAAATTTTCTGTCCATTAAAAATATGAAAATTATATAATTATATTTAACAAAAATAAGTGCACTTTTCTGAGTATTTTTTCCAGGTATAGCTCATCCACATTCAAATCATTACCCAAAATGATTTAAACTCAAAACAGAGACTATGACAAGCTTGTGTACCTTCAATTTGGGTGGCAATCATTAATAGAATAGAATGATGATTTTTATAGTCCCACAGCTATCGTTTTAATTAAATGGTTACATTTAGTGTAGCATCTTAAAATGCTGTGGAACTGGATGTACTTTAATATGTAAAACATAAGAAATGCAAAAATTTGGCAGGAAATAGTATTTACAGCAATGGCTAAACATGCTACTATTATTGGACCAGATGCTAACTAAAGCTCTAAAACTGTACAACGTGCAAAAAAAAATTAACCTTCCAGCAGTGACAACAGCATCACCACCATATCCTTCTGGAGATCCAACAATTGTTTCAGCAATTCAATCTGGCTGGAATCCTACAATCCAAAAGTAAACATTTTACTTTTTTATTCATCTATTTTTATTTAAAGGGAATGAAACAAGCCTTCAGCTATTTAGTTATCTTTTGTAATGTGATTTGACACTTGGAAAGGCCAAAAGAGGAGAAGAATTGCTTAGAAGCTAAAATCTATCAAAATCTTTCAAGATCATAATATTTTAACATACAAAAACATTTAAGCCCTGGATGAAGATTATGTTAAATGACTGTAAAATGCTTTCTGCAAGAGGAGTCAAAACAATCTTAGCAAAATATGAATGTAAATTCCTTCGCTGTACAAAAATATCAAATTAGGTCAAAAGGAATTTCAATGCTGTGCCATGAGGATCTCTTGCCTTGTTACCTTAAAACAACCTAGAATTAGAACAGTCAATAAAACCCATGGGTTGGAGAAATAAGGACCTTCAGAGATTTAACTATAGTGGAGGTGGGGGATGGTTTTAATGGGGAGTGGTGGTGATGAGGGGAGGCTGGGAAAGGGCTAATGGTAGAGTTAAAACTCCCCCAGATGTTTCCATTGAGCACATTTTTGACGATGTTGTCCCGTGTTGTCTGGAACGGTAAACTGTTCATGAAGTAATTGTGGTGAAATATTTGTCCTTGCTGCACTTCAAACGTCAACTACTCTCCAAAATCATACTTTCTCATTTCACAAAATTTGCTTCAAATCTGAATAAAATAGTTTATCTTTCCTTTAGCTGTTATTAGAAGCCCTGATTCTTATTCATAAATCAGACACATTTTACAAGTGAACTCACCACTTTGTGCGTTTTGCAACCCAGTTGAAGCATTTGGAAGAGGGAAGCCAGGGAAAAAGACTTTAAGATCAACAAGAACTAACTCAACAGAATTTATGGACAAAGACTACTGTTGTTTCTGGTGCCTACCTCAGTGCTGGGCAGCACACCAAGTTTAACTCGTCATTGACTTTTTTCTATAGCAGTTTGATACAACTGAGATACAAACTGAGTTTGACACAAGGGTGTCGCCCCTCACCCAAGCCCTCACACACTTCAGTGCCTTGTTAGGCCACTTCAGAGCCAAGGTCAAGCGACACTTTCCCTCTAACCAGGATAATCCCAAGGAACTTATTTGATTGGTACAACATCTGAATATCTCTACCATAGGGTTACATAGAAATGCTGTCAATTCCATAAAGGATAGACATTAAATTTGGCAACAGGAAAAAAATGAACAGTTATATATAGATGCTGTGACACAGCACCAATTTACTTTTATGCTGGATCCAAGAAATTTGGTGTTAATCCTCACAAAATTCACTGGATTAAACAGTCCTACTGCATTCTTAATTGTTGTTATAAATGATCAGTATGATGAATTTGCGACATAACTGACAATGGTCCCTTCCTGATCTAAAGACTTTTGTATTACATCAGACCATATTAACCAGGAACAACTGAGACTTAATTTCAGGTCCTTGCTGAACTAATCGTTATCTAATGGCTCTTTATTCCATATCTGCTCACTTGAGGTTCCCTGAAATTATAATGCAGCAAGGACTCTGTTTGCACATTATACTGACGCCAAATTTTTAAAAATAGAAATGTCGTAGTCCACTTTAGTATTCAGTAACAGAATAGCTGTCAACACTCATCATCATCTTATCAACCCCAAATTTTAAAATAAAAACACACAAATTATGGGCTTTATTTCAGGACAGCTCAGTGTCATGTTTCATGTATTTAACAGATGTGATCTGGAAGAAAAAAGTTTGTATGTGCAGCACTTTTAACTCATAATTAAGTGGATATCCTGGGGTTACATGCAATTTTAGCCTATTTTACAATATTACTGTGTTTATCAGTGATGTAGTGGGGAACATACCTGAGAAAGCTTCATTTGCATATTAGCAAAGACATGAAGGAAACCAACCACTGCATCCCAGAGCCTGCTGTGGGCTAGACTCTGCTGGTTACCAATGCAAGGGCCCTACACAGGCAAAATCAGATGGATAGATCTCAGCATAGGATGCCGATGACAAAACTTGAAGCATTTTTGGATGTGTTACTTTATTAATTACTTTGCTTCTCGCTGATTACATTACACACCTTAAACATTGAAGAATGCAAAATAAAAATCCAGATTTTTAAAGTTATAGAAGTACGCTGAACATGTTAAAGTGAAATGCAGTGAATACATTAAAATGACAACGCAAAAGCAGGCCAGTCAGCCCAAACAGGACTTGAACCTGCAGCTCTGGCTCAGAGGCATTCACCGCGCCACAAGACCTCCCTCCATATTATTTTTGCTATTATTTAGCACTTTAAAGAAGTTATTTGCTGGCTGGGAAACATGTCCTTAAGATATGATTGATGTTATAGAAATGTTTCTTTTTATTTCTTTCTGTAATTCAAACAGAAGCTAACCTTAAATGAAACTCCTTCAGAAACCAATACGTAGGTGTCAGTGTATGTACCTTTGGTGAGTTTTATGATTCACTAGTTAGCACTCTTCCTAAGAGTTCAAAGATTTTGGATTTCTGTCCTGTCCAGAGTTCTGAGAACTAAATTGAGGCTAATGGTCCAGTGCAGTGCTAAGGGAGTGGTACACTTTCTAAGGTACTGGCTTTTGGATAAGATTAATTGAAGGTCATCATCCCTCTTGGCTGGATGTTGAAGACCTCATGACATTCATTCACTGAAGAGCAAGGAGTTCTATGCTCAAGAATAACAACACTCAAGAAGCTTGGCAGCATCCAAGACAAAGTAGCCCGCTTGATAGGCACTATATCCACAAGCATCCACTTCCTCCCACCACTGACACTCAGTAGCAGCAGTGTGTATCATCCAGAAGATGCACTGCAGAAATTCACCAAAGATCCTTAGATAGCACTTACCATCTAAAAGGACAAGGGCAGCAGACACATGGGAGCACAACCAATTGCAAGCTCCAATCCAGCCCCTCACCATCTTGACTTGAAAATACATTACTGTTCCTTTACTGGCACTGGTTCAACATCCTGGAATTTCCTTCCAATGGTAACTGTGGGTCAACTTACAGTATATGGAAGCATTCAAGGCGGCAGCTCACTACCACCTTTCAAAGGCAACCAAGGACGGGAAAGAAATACTGCCCAACCAGTGACTCATGAGTAAATGAGACAAAAAAGTACACCCCTCAGCTAAAATCACCAGAAACGGCTCATCTGGTCCTTCTCACATGGCTGACTGTGGGACCTTACAATGTAAAAATTGCTGCATCGTCACCTTTCATACAGTACAACAACAACTGTCATTTAAAAGTGCTTCATCATGTACATGGTGCTTTGAAACATCCTGAGGTCAAGAAAAGTGCCACTTACATGCAAGTTTTTCCAATGTCATGTTTCAAAACATTATTTTCTGAAGGAAATCAATCTAATTTAAATAAATCAATATTATCTTTTCTCTGTGTGAAGAAAGTCTTGACTTTTGTTTTAAACCTCACACATATAATCTTTTTATCTACAATCCTTTCTTTTACCTAGGTTCTTCACTATTGCAAACAACCTGTTTCTGTTTGCCATATCCTTTCATAACTTGAAACATGTCGATGACAAGCACCTCTGTGAACTGCAATTTTCTAATTAAAAATACAATGTTATTAAGTTTTCCTTTGTATTTGTATTTCCTTCTATCAGACAGCATCCCGGTGAATCCGTAATGTGTCTTAGAGTTCAGAGCACAATGCGGCACATCTTAATTTAAATGAGACCTGAAGGTTTTGCCAAGGTTCACCATAAGATCCTGCCTTTCAGAGTCTATTTTTCATGTTAAAACTTAGAACTCTCTGAGATTATCTTTCACAGCCTCAGTGGACATGGACCAGCAATTACCTTTGCTTTTCCATATTGCAATTCCAACTGGAGTACCAACACTGTTGTTCCACACACATCTGAATTAAGGTTTCTGAATAAGGAGTATATTAGACTCAATTCTTATCTTTGAATCAAAGAATTAAATAAATCGAACAATAATACGACCTTGATTACATAGGCAGGTACTTGAAAGCAGTAACTTTCAAGAGTTTCAAAGTAGAATTAGGCTGGGAGTTTTACTCATGGTGAACTAGGAGGCCATCCAGCCCACTGTATGATTGGCACAGATTAAATGAATCAAATAGCAAATGGTTTGGAAAGAATTTCTACAATTCTGATTCCAAATTTCATGTCTTTAAGGTGTAAAAGCAAAGTGCCATCCAATGTACATACACGTAAAGTGTTGAGCACAATATGCATGAAGCCAAGGCTCCAATCAGCTGGTGTTCTGTCAAACTGTACAGTCACTAGTTGACTGGCTGATCAGATGATCCATTTGGCTTGGTGATCCACACAAACATTTGTTCATGCCTCTGATTGTTCCAATCATGTATAACTTATCAAGTTTCAGCATTCCACAATCTACCCACAAATATGGGGCTGAATTTTACTGCTCCACAGTGGGAGGTATGCAGACACGGGTGGCACCCACAAAATGCTGTGGGCACTATGTCCGCTGTCCACCTGCTGCAATTTTACCAGCAATAGGGTGAGTGTGGTGGGGTAGCCTCCCACCCGTGGCTAATTAATGCCCACTTCTGGGCTTTATTGGTCAAATCACGGTGGTGGCACAATGGGCAGAGATCCTCATGCCAAACCTCCCACCTGGCAGCTTTCTCTGCACAGGCTGGTGGGAAATAAGGAGAATGCATATCAGAGGGATTCCCCCAACATCACTAAAAGTCTAACATCCATCCCCTCTTCATCAGATGCACTTCTCTACGAAGCTTGTCTACCCATATCCCTCCACCTCACTTGCAGCGGACTGCCAACTTGGCAAGACCCCCAGGTGTACTCTGGCTCCAGGCTCCACGCAGTGCATCTTTCTGCACCGATGTTCTCCTGATGGCACTGCTAGTACTGGAAAGCTGCAACCTCTGATTTTCTAACCTGGGTGGCAGTGACAATAGCGCCCTGGTACATTCAGCCCATGGAATTAGTCTGATATATAACGAGCTTTTTTTTTGCAGGACATGTGTAAGGAAGTTAAAGTTTTACCTGAATATACTCAGTAAGTGAGTTGAAGATTTGTTTCGCCACAGCTAATGCTTTTGAGAAATTGCGCTGGCCTTGTCCGTCCATGACATCTTTTCCTGAGTAATACCAATAGAAATCACTGATTGACTCCTGGAATTTAACAAGAGATGAGTTGTATCAGCTTTCTTTCTGGATTACAATTTAATATAACATTTCTGAATCCTCTTAATATTGAGTGAGTAGTGTTAAAATGCTCAGAATTTTGTCCATTTCTGTTCCTTTCTTTGGGCTTGAATTTTGTTTGCTTTTGTGAAACATTAACATTACTTAGTGACGCGTGCTAAAAATCAAGTTTCTCATTTCAAGAGAACACAGCACAGTCACAAGAATGGGTGCATGGATTTCCAATTCTCCTACAGCTCTTGGGAGCAGGAAAGCATTTGAATACAGAAAACCCTAATCAAGCAGCCAACTACAGTTCTGCACAATGAACAATTAAATACAGCAACAATCCTTAAAATAAGTTCTACCTTTTTCTACTAGACTGCATTCTTGAATAGTTTTTAATTTCCCCTAATAGAGATCCATAATATTATATTGCATTGGAGGAGTGTTCTGCAAATATAGTGAAGTTCACTTGTCTATAATAACCAAATTTAAAAGATGGTTGTGCATTAGTTATAGTTAGAAAGTCAACAGATTAGCAAATGACAATCAAGAAATTATTTGTTCTTAGGTACAAATAGTTGATAAGTATTAATCATTTTAATTTGGTATAATGGACCTTGAATATTGCTGAAAAAAATGGTGCCAAAGCTTTTTCAGTATTGGCTTGCCAACAAATCAGCACCCTTTTCTCATTTGTGTAAATTGTTGCTCCCTTTGAAATTTGATATTCTTTTCATCTGTCCTGATGAATACAAGATAAAAGCTTTGACAGAACAACTTTTTTCAGCAACACTTGAATTAACCAGTTTGTTCTAAATTTCACAAAAATTCATTGCATTATTTTGGTATTACCTGAAGGCGTAGCAGGTAGTCAACAGTGCTGATAATAATATTCACTGTTGTCGTGTTTCCTATTTGAGTTCTCAAATAATTCTGGAAATCTACAATTTAAAATAAAAATCTTTAATGAATCAGAGAATATATAATTGTGCTTTGAAAAATTGTATAGAAAATAGTGAATGAGTTTGTGTTCAGTTTCAGTGTTGAAGTATGAAAACATGATGATTGTTAATGAGGGCTCAACATGCCCTTCATTAGATTAATAGGCAAGAGAGTTAAACAAATTTCCCTCATGAATGGAAATTCATCTGATGGAGGTACTCCTTTCTAGCCCAAAATAAGAACATTATTTTATTATTAATGGCACATTTTCATTTTTTCTCTGAGCAGCATTCCTGATGTTCACCCCCAAACTTAAGAACTTGATAAAGAACACAATCCTATTTGAAACCTACACATTTTAATTATCCTTATGTTAAGACTCTCCAAGATTGGATAAGACAAATGGCCTTTTAAGTTTTATTTGCAAAGCTATTTAGATTATCTCACCAGCAATACTTCCTGATAATGGATTGCTTTGCTCTGGAAATAGCGGATGAATGTGTACGCACTCCAGGGATTAGTCCATAGTACCTTTGTGTTTTTAATTCAATATGAGATTGGTCATTTTATTTGGCCTTACAAGATCAATTTCTTCTGTTCCAGGTTGAGCTTCAAAAGGGAATGAAAAATATATCTTTGGCAACCTTCAGGAGTTAATGTCTTGAAATGAGAGCTTCTGAATTGATGGTAGTAACTTGACCTCCCTAAAGTGAGTAGGTTTGCACAGATGCTAACTTCACCATTTCATAAGTCAAGAGGCAAACTCTTAAAATAATCAAGAAGCTTGGTTTAAAATGAGTTCTCTTTTTTTCCAAAAACATGAGCAAATATGGATTAATATTTGGCTTATAATTCTCATTAGTGGCTTCTTTAATCTCAGATGTGAGCTCTTTATAAAATTACATTACTGCAACTGAAAATGCTTTACATTACTACCTTTCTAACTTACCAGAACGTAAGAACATAAGAAATAGAATCAGTAAGAGGCCATCTGGCCCGTCGAGCCTGCTTTGCCATTCAGTAAGATCATGGCTGATCTTTTCGTGGTCTCGCCTTAATTCTCTTACTGTTCAAAAACCTATCCATCTTTGCTTTAAAAACATTCAACGAGGTAGCCCCAACTGCTTCACTAGGCAGAGAATTCCGCATAATCACATCCTTTTTTGTAAAGAAGTTCATCAAATTAATCCTAAATCTACTCCCCCTCATTTTGAGCCTATGCCCCCAAGGCAGGTGAAAGTAGGACATGAAAACAACCTCCCTGCTCCTACTTTATCTATTCTCCTCATAATTTTATATGTTTCTATGAGATCCCTGAAGCTGCATGAAGCTGGGGCCTGAGGTTCCAACAGCTATGTTAGTCCCTGAAGTTGCTTAGATTTGGTATGTTAAATTTGAATTTGTTCTCTAGTTAACCTCAATAGCAATTTTTAATCCTATGGATTAATTACTGCTTGTTTTTATTAATCCTAATAGAAGTGTTGCTATAATCTTTGTACTTAGATTGTGGATTGATTACTGCTTTAATCACAGCAGTGTCCTGAGACCTTATATAGTTAACCTTCACAGTATTTGATAATAGCTACTAGTATGTTGATGAGTTGTAAGCTTACAATTTATGGTGCTGCATGAAACAATTGTGAATTGATTGCTGTTTTAATCACAGTAGCAATATGTGGCTCCCTAATGGATGCACTACTGTGATTCAGGCTCCAGGTTAAGGCACAAGCAGCAGGCAGTTTCAAGCGTGATAGGTTTCATTTTGCAAACTTGGCAAGGCAATGTACTTTGCTACGTCCCACCCCTGGTTTCTCTGCAACAGATTCTTCAGAATCTGGGCCACTCAGGAGCATGAGTGAACTGTGCTTAGAGTCCCAAACCAAGTGTGCATGTGCAGAAGGACAGTTAACATGCCAAGATTTCAGCCCTCTCTTGCAACATCATAAATGACATTGAGTTAGACTTAAAAATTTCTTCTTTCATGCCAAATCTTTTGTGCATGGGTTAGAGTTAGGCTTTGCTTAACAAAGGAAATTACTATTTTAAAACATTTCAACCTGTGAAAAGGAAATTTATTTTATTTTTATTTATTGAAATTTTTTGTGAAAATAATAAGTCATGCTGAAAAAGGGATAAGGTCTCATAATATCAAATTAACACAGATAGGGGATTCGCTACCAGGAATCAAAGAGCGCACACACAAATGGGTAATTTTCAGGTAAGCAAGATATGACAATTAGAGTGCAACAGAGATCAGTATTCAGGAGTTAACTATTTACAATTTAGCTCAATGAGTTGGTTGAAGGTATCAAATTATTGGTATTTAAATTTGCTGATGATACACAGGAGAGGGATTAGTTTGCTAAAAGAACATAATAAGGCCTGTAAGAGGTTAAATGAGTGGGTAAAAGTTTAGCAGATGGAATATAATGTGGGTAAATGTGAAGTTCTCCACTTTGGCAGAAGGAATAGAAACTCAGTATATTGTATTAATAGAAAGAGATTGCAGAATTCTGAGGTATGGAAGAATTTAGGTGTCCTGGTACATTGAACAACAAAATGTTAGTAGGCAGGTATAGCAAGTGATTAAAAAGGCAAATAGAATATAAAAGTAGGAACATTTTTCTTGAGCTGTATAGGGCATTAGTGAGACCACATCTGGAGTACTATGCACCATTTTGGTTACTTCTTTTTAAGAAAAGATATCAATTTATTAGGAACAGTTCAGGGAAGGTTCATTTGACTGATACCCCGGATGGGAGGGATGGGTTTTTTTTGAGAAAAAGTGGGGCAAGCTGGACATGTAACCGTTGGAGTTTAAAAAAAATGAGAGGTGTGAATCATTCAAGATCTCAAAGGGTGGATGTTGAGAGGATGTTTCCTCTTTTGGGGGAGAGTACGGCTAAGGGGCACAGTTTAAAAATAATGGATCTCCCTCATTTAAGATGGAGATGAGGAGAAATGTTTACTTTTGTACAGCTATAAGTCTGTGGAGGAGGCAGGGTCATTGAATATTTTTAAGGAAGAGCTAGCTAGCTTCTTGACTATCATGGCAGTCTAAGGGTAACAGGGAGCGGAGACCACGGTCAGATCAGACAAGATCTTATTGAAGGATGGAGCATAGTCAATGGGTGAATGGCCAGCTACTGTTCCTAATTTGTATCTAAACCAAGTCGCCTTGAACCTGTGCTCTTCTGGTTTTACCGGAGTAGGGACAGGTGCTGGCCAGCCAACGTTTGCTAAGGTGTTGGGACCCTCACATACATATGGTACGGAGGCCGTGTCTTTAAGGTTTTCACCAGAACAAATGAAAGACCATTGACTTCAAACACGAACACTGTTTTTCTCCACAGATGCTGTCTCACCTACTGAGTATTCCCAGCATCTTCTGTTTCATTTCATACATTATATTAAATTAGTACAGTTTTAGTTGCTTGGTATTAGAGAACTTGAGTCCTGCTGAAGAAAAGAGTCATGCTGCATAAGTGTTTTGTCTTGCACTCATCATTACAGACACAAAAATAAGAAAATTTAAAAATTCTTAGCAATTATTGTTCCTTTTGACATTTGATATTTGTGCATCTGCCCTGATGAGGCCTGATGAAAAGCTTGCAAGTGTTTCATTTTCTTAGTATCATTTAATTATTGACTGATTTTAGAATTAGCATAAACACTAGATTATAAATGCAATGCGAATTCATCATCACCAACGGTTATGTCATCAAAATGGAAAAAGCTTGTGCTAAGGTTAATTAGCAGACAAAGGAGACAGAAGGTGTTTGCTAACCACAGATCCTACTCAGCTCCTGATGTGTGGAATGGGGGTTGTGGAAGATTTGGTCATATGCACCTATTTACAGTTCCGTTTTTGGCAGAATAGTAATTGGCTTTGCGTTTCTCAGTCCGAAGGGTCACTGATCCAGACAGTTACAGATGAACATATGAGTAGAAGAAATGAAAACTGAACTATGCCTAACCTCCAAACGACATTCAATTTTCTACAGGTATTTATACACTATTTTTTTGAAAGGAGTTCATTAATTAAATAATTTTACTGGGAGTCACTTCCACAGATACGCCTCAATGTGGAGGAACTAATCTAAGATTTAGCTTTGCTTCAGGCCTGTTAACGTTAAATCTGTGCTTTCAATCAATGTCAAAAGACAGGCTTGCAGCTAAACCATTTATGCTTCATAGCATTTTACTGACTTGCGTCACGTCTCCCTCAGTCTTCTTTCCTCCAATGATACTCAGTTCTTTAGAACTGCAAATTCAAAGTCTCAGATTATTTCTTGGTGGTTTTTCGATGATCTTTAATAAATTACTGTGCTTTTGAAAATATAATTTTTAAAAATGCATCTAATGTCTATGACCAGTGATCCACATCAGATTAGAATAATTTGATACAACTAACTAAAATGCTCAAAATGTATAATATTTGAGTAGTTTATTTGATAATGATTGATTAGAAACTATGTAAAGGATTAATAAACAGATCCAAGTCTTCTATATATTTTGCTTCATTAATAATACTTCCCACGTAGACAGGATTTATAATTTGTCCTTTTTGTTTATTATATTATATACATATTCTCCTCTTCATCTGTCCTGACAGCATTGATTCCTTTCTGGGTACGTTCCTTGTGAGATGAATGCCTGTAGACACTTTTCTTAAATGACTTGCTTATGCCATGACAGGAGTTATCTGCAGGCTACCCAACTACATGAGGTGTAACATGATCCTGTCTTCAGATGGTATAAATCGTTTTCAGACGTGCTCCAGAAAACAGAGTACGAGAGAAATATTTGCATGTCCTTGGATAGGGATTAGCAGCAGGAACATGTGCTGATTTTACCTTTCTCCCAAGAATGCCAGGACCATCCAGCGCATTTACATAATTAATAAGGCTGGCATTAACTAATGCAGTGTAATCTCAGGAATTTCCTAATCAGTGTAATTCAGCTACTTTGTTAATTATTTTTAGTTTATCTGTTTGGATGTTGTGGCAGGTAGCACATGAACCAGGGCTTTCTGCCCAATAAGAGCCCCTCTTGTGACCTTGTTAAACCAGGCAAGCTTTTAAGGGAGCCAGTCTTACATCTACATGATATATTAAGTTCCATTGGCTATCCCTTAGTAGTCTGTTTCGTCTTTTCTCTCATTTGTCAACAAGTCATAAGGTATGTCATCATTGGTAGATTTTGTAACATAGCAAGAAATACTCTGCATTAAATCACTACTTAATACTGTGAAGAGCAAGTATCTCTCAGAAAGAAATGGAGGGAAAACAGAATGTACCACACTAGTGTAGAATATTATTGCATGATTGTAGCACATAGTAAACCACTTTCTTGTATAGTATAATTGGAAATAAATACATTACCATTCAAAATGAATCAACTTTGGCATGAACTCTGAGAAAAGAATGGTAACTTAAAGCATTATTGCACTAACTCAAAGTCATCTTTACTGTGAACAAATAAGGATAGCATGAAAATTATATTTGTCTTTTGTGCTTTTTTAAAATTTGCATTATGAAGGTCATTGTGATGAACTTCAGATGCCAGAACTAAACTCACCATCGTTATGTCCCTCACATAACAGTTGCAAAAACCGAAACAAATCCCGAGTAAATTCATCATTCTGCAATACTTTGTCACCTGAGAATATTAAAGAAAGTGATCGTACATAGTGAAAGAAATCCCAGCATTTGGTATGCCATTACAGAAATCAAATATAATCAGTATTTAGTAAATCATGGAGGTTAACAATCTCACACAACACTAAAACAAGTTCATTCCACATTACACCACTTTAATGTGTTTTGCATTGGTCTTCAAATAACACAAATAATTTCACAGAAGTCAATTTATGGCAAGACATTGTTTCAGACTAACTTTTTCACAGCGAAAATTTATTTCACAATCAGGTTTCTTGCACATTCTCACACAAGCTTAACTTATAATGATTTATGTAGTCATTGTCTGGATAACAATAAAAACACAAATGCAATGTTAATGCAAATATAAATTTTGTATTTTGATGCTTTTCAAAAAGAAGCATGTAAGTGTTCTAGAAAGGTTTTAAAATCAAAAACAAAATATTGTTTAAAGAACATATAACCTTTGTATTCAACTTTATTTTTAAGTGCATTCTTCATCAGTAACTTCTGTTCCAAGAATTCTAACATACGAACGTATCCAAATGTTATCTTAAATGCAAGCCACACAATAAGCAATTTTAATGGACCAGAAAAAAAACCTTATATTTGTACTTCCATTGACCTATCATGGACTAAGCATATCCATGATTAACATTTTTTTTCCAGTCCACATTTTGTCAGTTGTGCCATTCAAAAATAAGTATTCAAACCGTGTACTTACCATATTCACGAACAATAACTGTGGATCAATGATTTTAGGGTTCAAGGGAGAGGAGAAGAATGTGAGAAAATGGTTTATTAATGAAGCATTTAAAGAAAAAGAACAACAATCTTAAAAATGATGAATTCCTAAGACCAAAATATTAAATCAGTAATGAACACATAATATTGAAATAATAAGAATCAATAACAGAATGTATTTTTAGGAAATAACAGGCTGAATTTCAGTTGCAGTATCCTGAACCTCATGCTGAATCCCATTTCAGGATCCTGAAGGTGATTGTGGTGGGACCCTGGAGGAAATTTCCAAGGTGCCAGCTAATAGGTAACTCCATCTAGAAGCTCTGAGCAGCTGACAGCTCCAATGAGAGAGATGTACTGTGGTGCTGGAGGTGGTGCCTTAGGATGGAGGCGCCCTCTGTAAACTTGCAAATCGATCAGAATATACCATGACTAAAATGACTGAGGCATTAGCGCAGAGGGGGATGTGCTTTCACAAGTTGGTTTGCTGCTGTGCTCCATGCAGCCCAGAGGATTTATTCTGGACTATCACTAGGTGGTCACCGTTGTTCCATCTATGGGCTCCAGTCACACTGGGGCAATCTAGACGGCAAGCAAAAAATTTCCTCGACAACAAGGTGCAGAGCTGGATGAACACAGCAGGCCAAGCAGCATCATAGGAGCAGAAAGGCTGACGTTTTGGGCCTAGACCCTTCATCAGAAATGGGGGAGGGGAAGGGGGTTCTGAAATAAATAGGGAGAGAGGGGGAGGCGGATAGAAGATGGATACAGGAGAGGATAGGTGGAGAGGAAACGGACAGGTCGAGGAGGCGGGGATGGAGCCAGTAAAGGTGAGTGTAGGTGGGGAGTTAGGGAGGGGATAGGTCAGTCCAGGGAGAACGGATAGGTCAAGGGGGCGGGATGAGGCTAGTAGGTAGGAGATGGGGGTGCGGCTTGAGGTGGGAGGAGGTGATAGGTGGGAGGAAGAACAGGTTAGGGAGGCAGGGACGAGCTGGACTGGTTTTGGGATGCGGTAGGGGGAGGGGAGATTTTGAAGCTTGTGAAATCCACATTGATACCATTGGGCTACAGGATTCCCAAGCAGAATATGAGTTGCTGTTCCTGCAACCTTCGGGTGGCGTCATTGTGGCACTGGAGGAGGCCCAGGATGGACATATCGTCTGAGGAATGGGAGGGGGAGTTGAAATGGTTCGCGACTGGGAGGTGCAGTTGTTTATTGCGAACCGAGCATAGGTGTTCTGCAAAGTGGTCCCCGAACCTCCGCTTGGTTTCCCCAGTGTAGAGGAGGCCACAACGGGTACAGCGGATGCAGTATACCACATTGGCAGATGTGCAGGTGAACATCTGCTGGATGTGGAAAGTCTTCTTGGGGCCTGGGATGGGGTTGAGGGAGGAGGTATGGGGGCAGGTGTAGCACTTCCTGCGGTTGCAGGGAAAAGTGCCGGGTGTGGTAGGGCTGGAGGGGAGTGTGGAGCGGACAAGGGAGTCATGGAGAGAGTGGTCCCTCCGGAAAGCAGATAAGGGTGGGGAGGGAAAGATGTCTTTGGTGGTGGGGTCGGATTGCAGATGGCGGAAGTGTCGGAGGATGATGCGTTGGATCCGGAGGTTGGTCGG